TTAGGTAGTTTTAAGACTGAATATATTTATAGGTGTTCCTTAATGTCTTCCTACATACAAACTGCAAGTCACCTATAAAGTATCCTAGATGTTTTCCTATTGGGTGGCTCTCAAACCATGTACCCATCTAGTAGCTGTGGTGTATGCCACACCACAGTTCCCTTGGGAGAGTGACGGGTCACTCTCATGTAACCCCGTTACAGCAGAAGTACTAATGCATCGAGAATAACGAAGAGGATGAAACTACGTAATATAAAAGCTATGTGGTACACGGGAGCTAGTAGCCTCTCTTCAACTAAAATAGATAATTTCATTGTAATCATCGCAAATTGTACGCATTGAAATTTTGCCCAAAATTATATTCTGTCCTGATTATATGTCATTCTCTAGATAAAAATACAAACCAGATATCTAAATTGCTTGTATGCTTGTGGTCTTGCTCCCAGTTGGCGCGCACGAATCCACCTCTATGCAATTATAAACTCTCTGAGTCGAAGCTTCCTCTACGCAACGTCCACGGCAACCCCGTTGCAGTTGGTGGTATTCATCTCTAGTCCCACGATCAAGTTGTGGAAGGACTGTATTTTCTGTGAGGGTGAAGCATGAGATGCTTGAGTACGTGTCCTCTGGCTACTGGTCTGCTTGATAAGCTTATGTTAATTGATAATCTCACTCCATTCTTTGCATGTTACTGAACACATTCTCCTACTGACGGGATCTTGAACTGGCGACCAAAGGGTTAAGTGCAGTAATCGCTCACCATCGTTTAGGCCGCTGATGTTGAGAGTCCAGCTTTTTGACGGCTCAGACAAAAAACTCCTCTTCCTGAACGAGAAAAACTGAGATGGCCACACATTAGCCATGATCTAAGCGGAGCAAAAGCGCGTCGCACTTGCGGTCTCCAGGCTAAAAGACCGCGAACGAGAATGAGTATTAACGCGCGGTAACTCGTTGGAAGCGGCACTCCCGACATGAGATATTTGGAGTGTCGTGCTCTCGCCTCCTCACTAGGTGTTGAGAGCGTTCCATACTCACATCATTCCGTCATGAGAGGCGGAATCTAGCACACTATGTCCCGAATTTAGGAATTTATCGATGCATGGGCATCAGACCATCTTCCGAGGGCGAAACAGCTAATTTTGACATGAGTGGTCCCCGAATAGGTGCCGCATCCACCCTACCAAATTAGGATAGCAATGAGCATCGCATCAGATGCGGGATACATCTTCCATGTCTCGAGGACCAGATTGGATACCAGAAGTGGAAGTTCTATGATTGCGCCAGAGGTGATGAACCTAACCGTGTTGAGATAAAAAACGAGATCTCTTGGCTGCCGAACAGCATCGCGGTATTTAAATCTGCTTAAGCCGTAGAAGTACAGAACATCTGCGCCTTTCATGCTCCCTTAGCCCTTTACTGAGCGATAAAAGGGTTGAGCTATTACGCAAGGACGACTGACGATCTTCTTGCGTGGAAGGAGCTTCAAATCAAATATCATTCGGCGCAGAGCTGCTGATAGGAAAAAACTTTGTTCGTTTGTATCTCACGGAGATTGTAGTCAATGGGATCCAGCCCTAATAACCGACACATTGCATAAGGAAGGTGGTGCTCTAATATCTGGAATACTGGTTGATAACATCGTTGTTCAGCGCATTGCGAAATTGCCTCATTGAATTGACAGCATCGCGCAAATGTGTGCTCCGCACAGCAGTCATAAGTAGCGGATAGCTCACAGAGGTATTGAAGATGCCAAAGATTAATTAAATTATCCGTATGTTTGCGACACGAACACCAGTGACAGTTTCAAAGCTTCTCTTGGTCCTTCGATTGATATTTAGAGCATTGATAGCGGGGTCGTTGTCTTGGACCCGAGATAAAAATAAATGTCATTCTAGGTATGGTGTGGCTTTAAAGTCAGAGCCATGAATCGTTAAAAAGTCAAGAAATCTGATTGCCACAATTTTATTGTTTGGTGGAGCTTTGGTGAGCCGCGAATTCACTTTTGCCAGGATACAAGAGCGCTTTTGGCGCAGGCACAATGTCACGATACATTCAATACAGGGCATGATAATGCTTGTTTTGTCTAACAAATATCTTGCTTAGTGTCTGGAGAAAAGCTTGGAAGGCCGAAGCAGCAGTGAATGGCGGTCTTGGAATTGTGTTAAATCTATGCGAAGACAAAATGAGCGACAAATTGTTGTGGTCCTCAAGTGAATTTGGTGGCACGTTAAAGCGCCGCTGTAAGCTAGCGTGCTCTGTGTCAGAGCCTTTGAAGGTTTGAAGTGACTTGGCGGGTGTCATGGACCCCAAAGCGCAAACGCTGGCGCTAAAATTTGACTCTATGTCGCAAGTAGAAGGGTCACACCTTGACATAATTCAACAGGACTCGTCCGTTTCGCAATTTCACAGTACTACAAAGTCATTACTACCGCGCGACGCGCTCAGCGGAAATAAAAGCAATTCTTTGCGAGTTCGTGGTGAGAAAACGTACCTACTCGTGAATGGAGTAGTCGTGGTAGTCATGAAAGCTGTAAGTCTACCCTCACTACATTACAAGCGGACGACATCATCATTTGCAAGGATGAAACAGACTTTGAGGATACTTGCGGACCACTGGGTGCAAGGATTGAAACAGCGAGAAGCTCACGCAAATGTTTCTCCCTTAATTTAGTAAAGACCACGACATGGTGATGAGAGACTTACAACGCGTGAAACCTCTGGATAGGAAAGTGCGTCGATAATTTGGTTCCCGGATTCAAATATTGCGTCACACGTCAATGGTCCTACCCAAGGAGGCAACGTGACGTCAATGATGCATTTAACTATGAGAAGCACGAAGCGGTTTTTTTGAAATGGAGTAAGAGTCTTGCTCGGTGTTATTTGTAGAAAAGGCTATCGGCAAGTGCGCATGTATGTTGAAAGCCACTATTGCACCGCCTCCTTCTTGCAGGATTGTGTTGTTAAACATCATGATCGACCTCATGCTCTTAATTTTAACGATAGATTACTAACAGCTCATGAGGAACTACAATGCCCCTCTCGCTGCGGTGTGTAATGCGAGTGAGATTGTAACGGGGTTACACGTATCCTGGTAACAGGGGTGTGTGTCACACGAGATGGGCATGGTGTGATAGCACCCAAATAAGAATACGGTACGTGACTGGGTAGCCAGTAGTTATGCATGTATTTAGATTTACTATATATATTTTGAAAAATCTATACATTTAAATCAGGCGGCTTTGCCGCAGATAAAAATAAATAAAGTCAGTTTTGGATCTAAACGGAAGAGTTGATTAGCCTTGGGTTAAGGCAATAATAACTTTTAGAGTAAGCGGATTGCGATGCACTAAACTCGTACTTGTTCTAAGAATAGAACGACAGGTCAGTGACCTAACTTACGCTTCCTCAAAGCGCAGAGCTACGGCAGCCCCGCTGCAGAAATACTGTAGGGGGCAACTGCTTAATCCCCAGGGACTGCCAAAAACGTTCAATCTTCTTGTGACGCTGCGGATCGGCCCGCATCGTGGATATGCACAACCTGATTTTCATAGATACATTTGTTCAGAGGTGTGCAAATCACGGAGACATCCAACACTTTCGAATAGTACACGGAGACATCTAACACTTTCGAATAGTACTCGTGTATATCTCTTTCTCGAAGCCTTGTCAAAAAAGACAAGTGTGATCTTGTGCCGAAAAAATATCCTTTTCTGGGCTGCTTCATTGTGAAGCATGACCCTCCGACAGCCTCGCGAACGCAAAGATTCTTGTACATTGACCAGTGCGTTTGTTTTAAAGGGTTATGAGGAAGCGATATTTTTTGTCCAATTACTTGCACAGGTATCATTGGGGTGAATGAAAGTACCAAACTGCTATGAAAGTGCGATGTGCTGGTGGCCGAACATGTATATCTTGGTAAGCACTTATGTGCGCACCTGTGAAAATATCAACGTTAGACCCACGCCATGTGCGTTGGCATCTGCCAGCCTACCAAGTCCTGCAAAAATTTGGCGATTCAGCAATGCAAACGCTACTTTTGGTTTAGAGTTTCAAAAGTAGCGATGTGGCCTTTTTCGGTGACCCGAGTAACGTGGCTCGTCCCACTGCTGTCAGCGACACATTATTGTTAAAGGTGTAACCAAGGTGTTCTTCTTCGAACTTCTTTGCCATCTTGACTTATCAGTGGCCATTGACCCGACCAAGAATTGTGTCTCACAGCAAATTTCGGCGAAAGTCGTTAAAGTCTTAGGCACCAGATAAAACAGGACCATTCATAGAAACATGGGCAGCCGAATCGCATTAATCACGTGATAGGAGACATTCTCCGAATAATATGCGCAGAAAGAACGCATTGCTATAAAGAAATGCTCTTACTCGTTGAGTTCGAGCATAATAACGCAATACACACCTCCGCAAATTTTCCCTTTTGGCTAAACCTTGTGTTCCTTTGACACTGCCACGAATCGGCTCAGGTCTTTTTGGAAAGACCCGTCGAATTGATTCGATTTGGCTTGTGTGTACTCCTTAGACAATTGCTGAGTTGGTGGCGCTATAGAAGTCACATGCTCATCCCACAGGCAGGCGAAACACATACATATGCAGTGGGTGACAAGGATCATTGGCAGCGGACGACTTATCTACACGTGATGTTTCTAATATTTATGAGACAAGGTGCTACCCGCAACATCAGACCTTTACGATCGTAGTACTAACATTAAACTAAACTCTCATACCTGCGAATACATCATGTGCTCAACGTATAGCTTTCGCAACCGTACAGATTTCCCAGTCTTACAAGTCTTTTGGGTCTGAAGCGCTCCGTCGAAACAACGTAACGTCTTACATTATTTTTTTTCAGATGTGCATCATTCCGATCAAGAGCAACGGCTAAGCCGATGAAGGTGCGCATACGACGGCATCGCTCAGAGAACGCACCCAAAGCGCGGCTCGTCTTCTCTTCGGCCACACGACAAGACTTTCGGAGGGATTCGTTTGTCGCCAAATTGGAAGAGCTCACGAGAGCTAGCAGCGGGGGGTTCTCTCCCGTCAACACTCCTCAATTAGCAATTGGTGACGCGAAACCATGTGGAACGGATTGTAAGTCGACGAGTTAAGCATTACCGTTACAAGTATCACGCCGTTCCCTTTTATTACTTCGCGCCGCTCCCGTCTCTTTCTTCATGGGTAGGCGTGGCAAATTTACCCAGCCCGACGCGCTTCCAACTAGCAAGCGTTACTCGGCTTTGTTCTAAGGTGGAAATCAAGCCGACATGAAGATGAGCAGAGCTGATATCAACAAGAATTTGAGATGATGGTTTATATCGTGATAATGAGTAAAGCTAATACCAGCAAGATTTTGAGGTGATGCAATTTCACCTCGACGCCTACCTTGCACTTTCTACTTCGCAAAATCAAGTTTTGTGGACGTTTGAGTCTGGTTCATTGTAGCTAATCTGTAGTGAATTAAACAAACCAATTCCAATCTTTTCACAAGATTTTAGAACCCAGTGCACGACCCTCATGGAGGGTGCAGATTCACTCGACCTTCTTTAGGCATAGGTGGTACTCTTAAAAAGTGGTGGTCTGTGAGGCCAGACATCACTCACAAGGTAGCTTCAAGGCTCGTTTTACTCTCTGTGTACGCAAAAGACCACACAAATAGGTGTGTGAGATCCACCCAAGCGCGGCGAGCAGCTTCAATGATCTGACACCAAAATCACATAATGATGAGATAGGCAAGAATCGGTGTGGTTATCGTGCTCGCAGACAAGAATTCCGGGCTTTCTAATCCAATTTCAGCTCATTGGTGACGTGCTGATTATCGTCGTGAGACTTGATGCGGGATGTCGCAACACTTTCCGCTGTAGCAAAACTATACGAAGCTCAAAACTCGTGCATAGAGAAGGCGGAGCACAGATATCACCTTCTCCTCGGTGAGCGACGTAGGCGTATGGCCACAGCTGGGAACGGAAGTGAAGAGAAGAGAGGAGGTTGTTTCGAGCACTTTCATCAAAGGATCTTGCCGAGTATTGCTTTAGTGACGCCGGTCAGAAGGACTTCGCTAATTTAAAAGGCTCGCCAAGTCATGTAAAGTGGTATCACGATAAAGAAAAAATATCCTGACGCAAAGATGCTTTTAGGGCAGGCATTGTAAACTGTAAAAAGTAGAGTTGATCTCCATGAGAACCGGATGCTCGTTGAGCCTTATGTTTTAAAGACAAAAGTGTGTGAAGCGGTGATGCTGTCTACATCCAGGCTGGATTGTACGGGTAACGGGTAGGTACTGTACGATGGTGCACGTACCTAGATATTCTGGACAATTTTTCGATCTCTCTGTGATATTCTTAATAATCAAGTGTACCGAAGTATCAGTGCTATTGAAGATGTCGAAATCACAAGCGAGCAGTTAGCCTCACGCCAAGCGATAGAAACTGTTCCAAAATTGAATCTAGTCATATGTATTCACAAATATCGGTAACCTATACACATGACACTCTTAGGGTAAAAAACAAACCAGAGAACTGAATTCTGGAGAGGCTTTCGGTCCGGTGCGTTGTTTTAAAGCGAACTCTTCGAGTCAAAAGTTTTTCTGTGCAAAATACACTGCAAGCTCGTTTCGTGAAATGTCCTGTCATGTCAATATAATTTGCACTACACTTGTGCAAGTAGTTAGCAAAGCGTCCTTTTGAGATACAGCACATTGGCCGTGGGCCTCGCGGGAACCCGTAAAAACGTTCAAGCAGGTCGGCGCCAAAACCACACCTGTCTCAATTGGAAGACAGCTTGTTTACGCGCATTTACGGAAGCACCGCTCGCACGTTTACAAGGTTAATACTCACAATCGTTTATTCGCAAATCGTGAAATACAACCGGGATAATTAATTACATGTGTAACAGGCAGCTATGTATTAAACAAAAGGCTGAGACCGTAGATCGTCGATGGAGGATCTAACAATCCTACCACAAGGGGGAGTATAAGCAGCATAAGCATTCCCATCCTCAGTAATAACCATATAGGCTCTGATGCAAGACGGATGCACATATAATTATTTCTTAAGTCTTTCACCTTTAAGATATGAGCCAAAATTATAAAGAATAAAACAACACATTGTAGAGTGGAGGGTCGTTCATCGGTGAGCTGCCCCCACCCCATTTATTCAATCATAACTGTTTACTAAATAAAGTGGACGAATGAACCAGGAATGTACGGTAAGCCACGCTACCAACTTATGCCATTTGTCGTGTTTGTAGGACTTACAATATATGATGACGTTTAGCAGGAACCATGAAATTTCATTTAATTCCAGGCGTCAATATCGTTTTCTGAGACGTAGATGATGCTGACCGAAGTCGCGGAGCCCACGAATTCTAAGTCAGGAGCGCACGTCGATGACGGTTTCGCATTGCGAGCAGAGGTGACTTAAGCAAATGGAGTAGTTTTAGATAATATGGTTGGGTACAAAAGCCTGTCACGTTGGCTTTCATCCTCAACGACTACTCCGAGTGTAAGAGAGCAGGATGGCCACGGCTGTTGGGTTTTATTGATTACAGACAATGATCGAAAGTCGAGACGATCGGATAAATCAAAGATGTATAATCTTTTGGAATTTGAAAAGCATTGTAAAGCCCAATCACATTACACAATTAGGATCTCACCTTCGCTTAGATGAGATCTTACCTGTTTTGCATCCGTCACGACTTTTTAGATGGCATTGCAGACTTTGTGATGTTACGCCATTGCCGATCGGTAAGAATTGTAATAGTTGCTTAAGATATCTTATCGCAAGCGTTCGGAAGCCAGTAGGTTATATCCTTGCGCTCACATTTCGTCCACATCGGTGCGAAGAGTGGATATGTACTATTTCTCAATGCATGATAGCGCTTTCAAAGCTTCTACAAATTCACGTTGTACTTCTAAATGTTGGCTGAGACTCTGACTAACTCGTGTTTTGCGGCGAATATTTGGTAGACATTCACCGACCTTGACAAAATTAAGACAAAAAAGACAATTTTGGCATGTACTTGACAAAAAATTACTTCTTAAGTCCTTGGTCAACTTACACTTTGATAACCCCACTTGCTTCAGTGCGTCACCAGCATTTAGCGACGCGCTTTTCGAATGATCTTTACAAATCTTGCGTTTTCGTCACCATCGCCTAAGCTGTGATGGGGACGACGTACAACTTACTAGAAAAGAGACATTAGCAGCTTCTCTATCACTGTTCGTCGCATATCTCGCAATACTGGAAAATGGCGATCTTCATGGATGGGGTTAAGAGAAATATAGAATTATAGGCCAATAGCATTACTTAACGATATGCTGACCATTGACTCACATTTTTGAGATGATAAAAGACATTTTATGAAATAAAACTCTTAAAACTGACTTGTGGTCCACACAAGGAAAGATAACAGTTGATGGGCTTTATGGGCTTCAATGCTGAAATGTGACAAGCCGCGAGTCCGCACTCCTGAGCATTCCACACTTTTCCTTCCAAAGCATCAAGACAAGTCAGCTAAGTATGAACTGGATGACGAGTGGAAGACATCGCGCCTTGTACTCGAAACGAGGTCGCCGGCGCCAGATGCACTTTCCGTCTCAAGTTCAACGCCAGCGCATTAACTCGACAAGTCCTATACGAAGTTATCAGCAAGCGAATGCGCGGGACGCGGCAACACCCTGGTATATAGTACCTCTTGGAGACGAAGATGAGTCGCAAGGTCCTGGCTTAGCCGTGTTAAAAAAATGCTTTTTCAATGCATTAACAGCGCGTGCTTATAGATATCTGCGTGTTAAAGATGGAACGGAAAGGTGCCATGTGTGCCACCGAAGTTGTAGCTAAGCACGACTCAGAAAATCCCACACGGACGAACGGACCCATGATTTGTGAAGCACAATTGAGTATGATTAGAGAAAAAGGTCGTGAACAAGAGCAAGATACCTTCGGCAGGAAAAACGAATCCAGATGCATCTTTACTCCGGTCAAAAAGGCGAGAAAGTTCAGCCATCCACCAGTTGCAGCCCGTCCTGTAAATGGCGTTTTGAATGAGGATAGGCGACCACCATCCTCGATCGCGTCAGGCGTCGACTTGCGCTTTTTTAAGTACGGTTATACTGGGTCTATTTTGACGAATATTGTCGTTAATTGTACTCCTTTCTTCTAGTGATGGCGAAGAGATTTTGCACAAGAGCAGAGACCAACGGACTAAGCAAATTTTTTCCGATCAAGCTCCACATGATGCCCTTACGAGTTCAAATTCACAGCTCATTGACTACAAAGAGATCGATCAGACAGAGCTCCAGGTTGGTCAATAATCTGTTATGCTGCCTTAGCATGAGTGCTTGATTGTCGGCATACAGCAACAGGATTGTCGCTACTTGTTACCGGAAGCAGGCTTAAACAATAGGTCAGACAGCGAAAATAAAGACCACCGAGCATTTTCGACCAGTTCGCGCGAGCCTGGTCGGCGAGACTTTCACCATCGGAGATTGAAAACCTCGAAATTGCTTCGTGACTGTGGTCACACTACGGTACCTTGATTGACTTTGTAACTATCACTACCATGAGATTCGAACCATGTCTTTATTACAGGCCATTGATTCCGCCAACCATATCTCGTTTAATCCCCTTCAAGACGCGTATGATTTTTGTGTTCTCCTGAGTGCGTATAAACACTACCTGTCTCATATTCTCTCTTCCAAAACGTTTCATAGCACACCGCCTGTAAGTCCAGTTGAAGATTCACCTTTGCCATTTAAAATGAGTCGGACAGAAGGTTTGTAATTTTTTCTGACTTGACGCTTGAATTTACCACCTGGTCCTCAAACAGTTGTACAACCCCAACTATCATGCAAACTTAATCGTGCAGTAAGTACATTGCAAGTCCCATCGACATCATTGGCAAATGATTGCCTTGAAAACCAGACGAACTTAACTCCATCGCCTCCGTATTCGCCCCCATCACCTTCGACATCGTCGCAGGGTAGCCTTATACTTGGTCGGCCACCACAGGGATGGCAGAAAAATTTGCTGCTGGCTCAGAGATTTTCAAGCGGTCATCCATATCCTGGCCGGAGTCCACCCACGTTTGACTCTAACCATAATGATTTTGGGGATGTCGCTAGCACCAACGGTACATCACTCGCATCATACTCATAGTGATTGTACCGTTAAGCTTTTTTTCCTTCATGCGATTTCAGCTCATATAGATTCAAGCCCTTCACATAGCAGCTCAAAAACAGACGATAATGACTCGATCATCGACGCGATTGTTCCCATTGATGCAAAAGATCGCATTATGGCGATTGCGGCTTACCAAAACTGTCAAGGGAAATTGCGAGAGCGACGCCAACAACGATCAACAATGAAAATGAGTAAGATGACATGCAATGCTCAATACCCTTATGTTCAGCTTCACCAAACCAAACAATGGTGCTAGATTTCAGTAATTCCACAAGCGAAAATAGCAAGACAATACACCAGGCTTGGGTTATGTCGTCACGCACGAAAAAAATATTGAGCGAAGTTTCTACATCAAAGTCAACCTCTGTCGATAACACAGCCAAACATCATGACACAAGATACATAGAAATGGAGAGTGTAGCAGTCTACATGTACACATTGGTGCAATGCTACAAAAGCGACGAGATACATCGGTATGTGTTGGTATAATTTGAAGTTGTCTGTCGATAAAGCACTTTCAACACTGATGAAATCAAACTTAGTTCGCCAGCAAACAATCTCAGTATGTTGTCATCTGAGTCTACCGCCTTACACAAATTTTAAGAAATATCGAAAAAACTGCTTGATTGACAAGAAATTATCTTATCGCTCTACGCGAGTTTATTACGCTGAAAATTAAACTTTTCTCAGAATTAATCTTGGGCAAAATGCTCGTATTGCAAACAACAGTCTTACACTCATACCTCTACACAGTTTACACTACAGCTAGAAGTACGGCAATGAGGCAGGAAACGTCAAGTGAGGATGCTAAGATCGACATTAATAACGATGCCAACTCGGTAACCTCAGGTTTTAGACATAACAGTAAATTAAAGATTTTATCCTATTTCTTGCATCCCAGCCACGCTTCGACTTCTGGATCACAAGGATCACCGATCCCACGAGCAATTTGCCGTCGTCGCATTTCAATCGGATACGGGTTTGCAGTGCAAGCTATCGCCATGTAGCGAGCATTGTAGCACATAGCTTGAGCATTGCCACATTGATGATACATCGTTCCGTTGCAAGGAGCCATGATGTCTGGTGTTGGAGGACCTTCAAGAACTCCAGGCTGGAGAATAGGCCCGCAAGTTGTAGCATCAAATTTCTCTACTGCAGCCCGCGTTGCTGGTGTTGCCACATTCTTGGGATA